GTCATCTCTGCCAAGCAATGGGCTCTGTGTTGTCTGCTGCTGCCTCGCCAGCTGCACCTCCCTGACAAGCTCCCAAAATGGCTCCAGAGCAGGCGGTTACAAAAGGCGCTGAGTCAAAAACACTAGGAGACATTAGGACGAAAAACACAGACACACATGGGGCTGAGCGCTGAAAACAAGATGTATTCTAGACTAAAACTGGTACTGCAATTTCTAAGCAGCAGCATCTGCATCCTTAACATCTTCAACAAGCCATATTTGACTTGTTGTTTCTAACACAGCAAGCCAAACATTTCCAAGGCAGTGAGTCACTATTTAATCTTTTCCCATCTTCTACAAGGGGCTTCATCTTATTGGCTGAGTGCAGGGGCACGGCTCTTATTTCAAAGACAGGGGATTATCAGTGTTTTCCCACATAGTTAATTAGTAGAGAATCATTTGTTTCCTTTGGGAACAGCCAGCATGCATCAACTCCTCTATCTTTACCCTGAGGAGAGGATTAACAGGTATTAGAGACACAGACTGGGAAATACCTTTTCATCCAGTATCACTTTCTCTAATTCTCTATTCAGAATATCAACAAAACAATACTGTGTCCTTTGTTTTGTATGTAATCATGGTGCATTTAATTGCAGATTTAATATTTCACACATGCAGCTTTAAGTATGTCTGTAAATGATCTTTGGCTTCACAGTTTCACCTGACAGAGGTAATTATGCCAAGTTATTACAGCAAAGTTTTTAATGACATTAGTGACAGATTTAATTACTGAGTGAAAACAATGTGTGCCCTGCCTCCTGATTACATTCATTGTTAATGTTCGCCTTTGTGTAGGCTGACACCTGCAGCCCTTTCTCAATAATATAGGGTAGTGGTTTCAGTAATCAGAGCGCACATGGCTGAAGCACAGCCTGTTGCTAAGTGACCGGAGAAGAAGATGTGCCCAGATTACAAACAGCTTTGCCTTTACCGAAGCATGTGCCATCCATGTGGGCTTTTTCACTGAGATATGATTGTTGAGTGACCTTGTTTCATCTCTGCACTTCTGACACAAACACAAAACTGAAAGTGTTTCCATGGAAACCAAGAGCCGTCCAGACATAGGCTAAGCAAAGATTACAGATTTTTTTTTTTTGCTCTTTTCTCTTGAAGCTATTCCTGCAAGTCTCCTTTTTTTGAGTCAGTGGGAGGTGAAGCTGTATGAAAGGCAAATTGACCCCCTGATCAGCTAAACGCCTCACTTTGCTATGGTTTCCTACATCAGACACACCTCTGTTTGACTTATTTCACGCCAATGCATTATGCACAATGTCTTTGGAGCAAACTGTGCCAGTGTTTACCTGAATTATCAACAAATAAACTTACAAACCATACTATATTTTACATCTTAATAACTTTAAAGCCGCTATCATTGATATTTCTAGAGTAAAAAAGTATTAACTGACAATGTGAAAACAATGTGAAAATGTGAAAGGCTCACTCAAGCTCCTGCCAGGTTTATAATCCTTTATTAGAGTTTCAGGTCTCTGTTTAGATGTTCAGACCACAGCTGTTTTGGTTCACTCTCACCACTCTCATAATCCGAAACTGTCATAGAGACTAGCTGGTGAACATAGTGGTGCATAAATAGCCAGATATTTCCCTGAGGAGTTGGAGGAGACCAAAAAGAGAGTTAAAAGACCTGCATACAGAGACTGTCCTCTTGCAAAATACGACAGTATATGTCATTTGTGCCAGCAGGTTATTACAACAAACTGTTATGTGTTATAGTCTGGTGACATCTGGCGACTGTATTCATTATGACACAAAGAAAGTAAAGTAATATGACCTATTATATAGAGGCACAAAATCCACATCAGGGGGATGTTGGAATAGATGGCCAGGTGCAAAAAAAAACACAGGACTTTCCATCAGAAAAGCTTAGTTCAGTTCCAGTGTGTGGCTTGTGTTTTTGTTCCTCAACGTAACAAGTAGTTTTTCTTTTCTAAACCTAACCAAGTAGTTTGTGTTGAAAATGAAACTGTGATGGTTTCAAAATTGTAACATCAATCTTATGACAGTTTCCAAGATGGTGGCATTCTAGTAGTTTGCTGCTAGCTGGCCATTATGTTTATGGTTGTTTCAATGACGATGAAGGTCTATAAAGCATGGTAGTGCGACGTACGTTGTTGTTAATGCTGGAGGGATTGTTTCAATTCCTCCTGCTATCGTGGGAAAGCTATTTAATGAGATGCCTCTACGGTCCATATGAGAAGGATGGGAAAAATGACCACATGGGTCATATGGGTTGGAGGACTTTTGTGCATACATCATGTTGACACCAGCATGACTCCAGATTAAAAACTAAGCTCTGTAACTGCTGGGATGTCTAAATAAGCATCTGTTTGCTATCAGGTTTTCCACATCAGCTTACAAGGTGATGATGTGCCATCATTCCCAGCTTGTTTCCACTGTCCCTAAGAAGCAAAATAATAATAATAATAATAATAAAACAGTGTTAGCAGTTTTAAAAACTAACATCTTGACAGATGCAGTGATTATAATAATGCATAATGGGCAAAAAAAATCAACCTATGAACTGTATGCCATGCTGTTGACTCAGCTGCAGGTCTAATGTGTGCAGCCAGAGTGGAGGCTAGTTGTGCATGATGTGTAAACCAGTCAGCTCAGAGACAAGAGTGTGTGTTTACCATGTCAGCAGAGAAGCCTGGTGATGGCTGTATGTAAACATTTACATCGGTGTGAGCAGGCTTCAAAAAGCAAGCGATCAGTCATAATCCTCAAAGGCATACAACGAGATTAACAGCTTTCTGAATGACGGCTCTGCTGTAACTCCATGTTTGTGAAATATGATCAGGTCATCTCAGGTGAAGTAGTGGCTTCCTAGCTGCTAATGTGCTGAATACAAGAGCTATACTCATTTAACAATGCTACCACTTAATGACTAATAAATGGTGGAATGTGCCTTCCTTGTAGAGAAACACAAAGGTTTTGTCACATTTTACCCTTTGAGTATTTTAACTTCTGCTCACAAATGATAACAGGAAAGTAGATTTGGTAACTTTGTCAGTTTCTGTGCTAATAGAGAACTGACTCTCTAGAAATCCTATGTGCAGAGATTGAGACATCGATCTGTGCTAGAAACCCCAGAGAACAAGAGAAGGCACCTCAGATCTACCACCGAGCCAAAACAGTCAACAAAAGGCTGCAGGCAGTTGCCAGGCAACACTATCCCTATCACAGCAGGAAGTGGAGTCGAACAGCACATTAATCACTTCAGCGCCATCTCACCAGAGTCACAGTGCAACAGTGCTATGGTCAGACAGAGGTTTCACACACGTTCAGTCACACTGGTTCAGACCTGTATTTGCTGGAATGTGACTCGAGGCCTAATGAAAAAAAAATGTATATCCCAGCATACATACATATATCATGGAATACATTTCTAAAAGTTAAAATTATATTCATCCATTTTTGCCCCGCTTCATTTCTCAACTCATGTCTGTGAGGCAAAATTAAATTCATCCATTTTTTCCCCCCTTCATTTCTCAACTCATGTCTGTGAGGCGGGTTAAAGTCCAAGCCCTTTTTTTTTTTTTTTATAAGAAAACCCTGTTTCAAAGGATTTAGCTTGTGTCTGGATAATTCATTTGGAATTTGAAATCATGAAGGATAGCTGCCTGTCAATCAGTCTGCTTTAAATCTGTTTGTTTCACACACACAAAGATGTACAAGTACATCTCTGGCTCTGGCAGAGTTGTAATATATCTACTCAGCCATGTCTGACTGTCTCACACAACCTTACATCAAGACAAATGCAAAGTTTGAACCTGATATATTCTAAAAGGGTGAAATCCAAGTGACATTCGAATCACAGTAAGTCATAATAATTTCCAAGGGAGTTGGCTTTTTCTGTCCAATCATGGTCAAATGACTTTTAAGTTTGGTTCAAATCAGCAAAAATACAGACATGCTTTTCAAAATGACACCAATATCCATCACAATAATTCCATTTACAGGTATGCCACAGAGCTGATTACCTGGCGCATTATCCTGATATATCTCCATCTAATTTCTCAAAAGAGGGTCCAGTTATACCTTAAAATGAGTTAATAATGCATATGACAATTATCCCATGTTCCTTCTTGCTATAATCTTCTTTTATTAAATGATTTCTTGTGGCATTTTGAGTAGGAGGCTACATCAGAGTAGCAGCTTATTGGCAATGCATGGGTTCTCACAGCTTTGCCAATGGCAGTCTCGCTGCAGCAGATCTGTGAATTTAGGAAAACCCAAAAAAAATCTCAAAAAGCAGCATGTGGGTGGATTCACTTGAGTAAAAAATGACAAGGTTTTCCCCGCACTCATAAACAGACCTAATCAAATACATAAACAGAGTCTGCACAGTGAGCAAGAATGGCAATGTGAGGAAAACATTGTTGGAAAGCTGGACAGGTCAGTGGCATCCTGGAGTACTCGTGCACAAAATAATGCACTCAACAACTGAATGACCAGAGAAATAATATAACTGAAAGACTGATTTATGTCTCTTGACTTTTAAAGTATGGATGTGGTGAAAACTGAGCTGCAAGTGAGTACAGAGCTGAGACACCCGGAGTTGCACAAATGTGTTTATTTTTTGTGTGTCAAAGATGACATTGTTCCGAAATATGACATCGCATTTTGTTGGAGCAAAGATAATCAAGCTGTTATACAGTTATACAATAAAAATGCTGTTATACAGTCACTGTTAACGTACTCAGCTGTCAGGTGGTAAGGGATGATGGGCTGGGATAAGGATGGGAAAAATATGCAACAGCTTCATGTGTTATATTTTACTTACAAGCACACAATAACATCCAGCCCTCTGCATGGCTGTCTCAGATTGTCCTGCTAAATATAATACACAGATAGACTGCAATCACATCTGGGCAGGAGAGGAAGGTTAACAGTACAACAAACACTGAGATTATGACAATGTGCGCAGTTGTGTCTGTATTAGTGAGAACATTTAGCTTTAATAACAGTGCTGGGGGAAAAGTCAAATGGTCACAAGGATCAAAATAGTTTTCGCATAAATGTGTTCAGCGTCAATCTGACCATAATGTTGTTGGACTGGATCATAGCTGCTACCTCTTTGGCAGAGTTGATTTTAGAGACCGATAATAATGTTGGTAAGCTATGCATTTAAATCTTGAGCCATACAACCATTTTACACTTTCAAAATGACTACGTTTCACGTGTTTATTTTTCACTTGTGGGTTTTCAGTAGCGCGTTTCCCTGGTTTATTACGGTGCGGCCACTTGAGGTAAGCAGCGCCTTCAGGATTTGGACACACTAGGACACACTACCTCTGCCGACAAGCGCGTCAACCACTGCAGCAGCAGCAGTAGTGCACAGACAGTAGCAGGCCTGTGAGGAGCCACAGGCTACAGACCCTTCAGTCTTGATTTTCTCCGTGGCTGGTGATGAGACCTGACAGGAACCGTAGCTGCTTAAAATGCGCCATCATCTTCAAAACACGGGCATGCGGCCGTGTGTATACAGAGCAATATGTTCCGCTGAAATCAAAGAGGGCTGTTTAAAAAAGGAGTCGCTTTTCCGTGTTTGTCAGTTAAAAGTCTGCTCTTTACGTTTTTTCCTTGCGTAATTTTGGCACCGGAGACTGGATACCGCGTGGAACGGGATTATTTTGGCGAGGACATCTCTAGTGTTCTCCCCCCCTCCCTGCATCCGTTATTGTCCTCAACAGCAGACACAGAGACTCGGAAGGTGATTATCTGTATGTAGTAACACTGTAATGAGACGAGGGGCTGTTTAAATGAAAGCCAGCATCACTGCATCCCGATTGAAGGTAGGTGTCTTAGCTCACGTTTCCGTGTTGTGCTCGTTTGTTTTCCGACAGAATGGTGCAATGCAACGTTTGTACGGCTCTTCTACAAATGAACAAGCCAAATTCAGAATATGACATAGCGTTAATATTTGCCTGAGCTCACATTAGGTTGGGCCTCTTTAGTTCGATTTTCCTTATGTTGTAGTGTAGCCTACAACGTCCTTTTTCTGTCTCTGGTGCTGGAAGAGCAAGAAAATCAATGCATGTCTTCTAAGAGTATGAATGCACATGGGTTAGTGAACGTGCCGGGTGTGCGCGTGTGTGTTTGTTATTGTTGTAGAGGATATTGCAGTCGATCTATGGTGCACCCTCCTTTATTTGCATATTAAGCTCTTACTGCAAAACAGTGAATAAAGTCATACGTTTCAGGTGATTACTTTTAATACTTGAATAACTAACTGAAAATATTTATTCTACATACAACTGTAGAAGACGGTTAGATGTAGTGGAAATCACAAACAGGCGTCTTGTACGGCTGTGTTTGTAAACATTACTGAAGTAAACAAACATTTAACAGCACTGGAAACATCAGCATCAGTTTATGCCCCTGTTTTTAAAGGCTTGATAAATTCTGGGAAATGAACACTTGTCCTTCAACTATATGAATGTGTAATGTGCAAAAGTGTGTCTGTCTGTTTGTCTGTCTGTCTATCTATCTAATCTGTTTATCACCACTTTATTTTTTCTTCCAGCCTTCAATCTGCAATGTCTGGGAATCCTCCAGCTGCTCTCTGATACTACTTTCTGAGAATGGGATCATAGTAAACCTCTCTGGGATTTAGATCAACTGCTAGCAATGTTGCAGCCCTCCACCAGAACAGGTGACAGCCTGTTGGTAACATTACCTCACTGGAGTAAGTGTCTGAGAGAGGCCCTCTTCTTCACCCTCTGCATGGCTCTCCTCTGGCTCCCAGAGGGAGCAGGATCTACCCTAAACTGCCATAAGACATGCATCTGCGCCTCAAACATAGTGAGCTGCTCCAAGATGAATCTGACCGCTGTCCCAACTGATCTGCCACACTACACTGCTGTGCTGGATCTCAGCTATAACGAGATAGCACGGTTGCAATCAGAATGGACTCCAAATAAGCTCCCGAAGCTCCATAACCTCTTGCTCAGCCACAATGGTCTCGACTTCCTGTCTGAAAAGGCCTTTGTATATGTGAAACAACTGCGCTTCTTGGACCTGTCCTCCAACAATTTGCAGCAGCTGGATGAGTACATCTTTGAGCATTTAGCCAACCTGGAGGTCCTCTTGCTGTACAATAACCAAATTTCGCAGATTGACCGCTCAGCCTTTATTGGAATGAAAAATCTTCAAAAGCTGTATCTTAGTCAGAACCAAATCTCCCGCTTCCCTTTGGAGCTGGTCAAGGAGAAGTCCCGCCCGGAGAAACTAGGCCTCCTGGATGTGTCCTCCAACAAGATTAAGATGTTGCCCATTGAGGAGCTCCAGGTGCTGCCTGCTTGGATTAAAAATGGCCTCTACTTCCACAATAACCCTCTGCTGTGTCACTGTGATCTCTACACACTCCTTTCCCACTGGTACATTCGAAAACTCAACTCTGCTGTGGACTTCAAAGATGACTACACATGCATTCTGCCTGGTCCACAAAAAACCCAGTTAGGTGTTTTTGATCTCAGTGGTGACAGCATGAACTGCAGCACATTCAAGGAGGCAGATGAAGAGGCTTTCCTGGAGCAAAAGCTCACCCTTCGCTGTGACACCAAATACCGGAAAAAGTCACAGACCTGGACAATGCCTGGTAACGTGGTGGTGACACCTGGCAGCAACCAGACAGCCAAAGTCTTGCCAGATGGAAGTCTGCAGATCAATCCAGTGAGGCCCGAGGACTCCGGGACCTACACATGCTTTGCAGTGAGCGAGGCCATCAATGAGACAATCTATGTGGTAGTGAAAGTTCACAACTTCACCATGCATGGGAGTGGGGAGACCATGAACACAGCTTACACCACCTTGGTGGGATGCCTGGCCAGCGTGGTTCTGGTGCTCATGTACCTTTACCTGACGCCATGTCGCTGTTTCTGTTGCCCCAGCAAGGGTAAGACTCGGGGTGAGGACAGCATCCACTCCTCAATGCTCAGTGTGACACCGACCCATAAGGACCCAGCGCTCAAGGTCGAGATGAACAGGCACGTGGCGTTCATAGACTCCAAGGACTTGCAGGGTCAGAACGGCAAGTGGAATCCCAATGGGGATGAGGACGATGATGATCTGGATGCAGAGGTTGGTTCTCTCGTGAGGGGGAAGAGGAAGAAGTCTGTAGCAGGGTCCATCAGCTCCGTCTTCTCAGACACTCCCATGGTGGTCTGAGATGAGACGATGGATACCACATGACTAGATGTGTATATGGTGCAATATGAGTCATGTCTTAGTTCATGTAAACTGTGACTGTGACCTTGAAATGGAGAAAGCACACTGACCTGGAGATGATGGCAAGCGGAAATAAGGATCTCAAAGGGAGTTAAAAAAAAAACAAACTGTCTTGTTGTTGACAAGGACAATAAGCAGGACTTTCCCAGCATTTTAATCTGTAGCACTTAAAATTCATACTGTGAAGGAGTGGTAACGTACATGCACAGCGGAAACTGCTGAAGTCTTTTGAGAGTAAAAGGTAGATATGCTGTTGATTTCGGCACTCAGGAAATGATAAATTAAATTGAACGAACGTGAGAAATGCGTACGATACAACACAGGGTTTGAAATTAGATTTTAAAAAACTATAAACAGTTTGCACACACAGTATATAATGAAACCATGGCTGGGTCATTATTATATTTATTACAAAGACTAGAATAAATAGCATCTTACGTAAACATTAGAGCATGGACACATTAGCCCCTCCTCTATCAACACAGAGACTCGGACAGACTGCAGTCACAAATCTGTGAGTACGTGTCATGAACCTTGAGTCATTTATTGAGAAACAGCATGCCATAAACCCACATTATATCAGACTGATCAGTAAAGAGTGGGATAAAGGAAATGTGGATTCATCAGACATTTGGTCATTTATATGGAGACAACAGTAGCACAAACATTATATAAAGAGGCCATTGCAAGTCATTTCCATAGCCAGTACTTAGCTGTACTCAGATATAGTCGTCAGACTGATCCTTATTCATATACATAGTTGTATGTATAGCACTGTAGGAGAGAGCTCTTTGTTCCTTTGCTAGTTTAAGGAATACGTTTACATAGATGTATGTTGTAAAACTGTATCAAAATAGTTGCCTCTTAGATCATGCACAGCTACAGTATAACCCAAAATCAACTTTTGAAGCCTTATACAATTAGAAACATGTAATGCTTCCAGCAGATACACATTAGCTGCAGGGAAGTGTTTTGTCTTGACTGAGTATCTACATACTGTCTCAATTCTGCCATGGTCCTTACACAGGCTAACAGGCTTCTGTTTATTGTCCACTGACGTGCCACTTAACTGTACTGCAGAGTTTGACTCCTCTCAGCCAAGTTACAACATTTGTTTCTCTCAGTCACACTAGTTAAGTACCAAGCCGATGATGAGCTGCCGGTTTGCGTTTATGTTATAATTTCCTGTATGTAAAATGTACACCTTCCACAAAATCCTGATATATTTTAATGTACACAGCTTACAAAAAACATAAAACTGTTGTATTCACATGTCTTAAATGATGTCATAGATTTAAGTATTTGATCTTGCATTTTGCGGAGATGGACAATTCCCAATGTCACACCGATGTGAAATGTAGCTGTTTTACCTTGTGGTCGGTATAAAATGATGTACATTGTATTAGCAGGTAAGAGTTAGAGTCTGCCACCTACACCTAATGAAACCTACAAGTTTCCTCCATAAGATGAAGTTTATGAATATTATAAATGAGTCTGTACATTGTTTGACAGGAGAGAGCAGGTTTTAGAGTTTGTAGCAGCTGACAGGAAGCCCGGTGTAACACAGAGAGCTCTGGTTATATCCTTCAGAGGGTCACTTTATCTCTTCATTACTGAATTTACCGGTCACATCATCATTTTCTGTGCATATTTTATCAAGGTTTAGAACAGGAGACTGTGTCTTAGCATAAAGAAGACAGAGTGATTTCATTAAACTGTGCTGACTTAATAACACTACAAAACTAGACTGGCATAAATGCTAATTACATCTTTTGATGGGATCCCTCTGCTTTCCATGGCTTTGTTGTTCTCAGATGGAGATGATAGGTGTGTTATCATGAGTCACAGCAACACAAAGCTGTTCTCTCTGGCGCTCTGTACACTGACCACCTCAGTTCATCCCAGATGCGTTTGCTTTAGTTGTACCGCGCCATTATGAGGCTGCCTTTACTTAAGTTCAAAAGCACTCATTCAATAAGGCAATGAATGTGATGCCCTTTAAGTCACTTGTTTATGAGCGAAACGCACAAAGCTTTCATTGAACATTTGCTCTTCCACTGACTCATGTTTGGAAAGTACAGTTTAATATAAGAATAAATTACACTTTTGAGCTTTCCAATTAAAAACCCCCCCCCCCCCCAACACACACACATATTTATATATGTGTGCTGTCAATCTATTATTTGTGATTAATCGGCTGATTGTCCATATTTAACTCACGATTAATTGCACTTAATCTGTTCTAAACAGTGGTGGAAAGTAACTAAGTACATTTGCTCAAGTACTGTACTTAAGTACAATTTTGAGGTATCTATACCTGAGTATTTTCATTTTTTGTTACTTCATAATTTAGAGCCAAATACTCCACTACATTTATATATATAGTTACTAGTTATCTTTCAGAACCAGATTAAAGCAAAAAAATACAGTATAATAAGACCTCATTGATCCCTGGTGGAAGTTCCCAAGTCTCCCAGCAGTAATTCAAATTAAATGCATATAAGCCAGTACAAACTAGCTCCTGTTTTACCAGCTGCAACATTAAATGTGATGAACATAATAATGTATCAGTAATTATAATACAATAATGCAATATACAGGAATGTGAAATGTGCCATTCTGCATAATAAGTCGTTTTACTTTTAGTATTTTGAGTATGTTTTAATGCTTTTTAATACTTTTATACTTTTACATAAGTAACATTTTGAATGCAGGATTTTTACTTGTAACAGAGTATTTTTACCCTGTTGTATTGCTACTTTTACTTAAGTAGAGGATCTGAGTACTTCTTCCACCACTGATTCTAAATGTACCTCAAAGGGAACCCAAGGTAACTATGATTACTGAGAGCTGTCCAGTAGTCTCTCATGAGCGTGACTGTGTTTGTCTGTCCCAACGCCCCCTCCACTTCAGCTTTCTCGTCTTCATACAAGTTGTGTATCTTGGTTACAGTGGTGGCTCTCGAAGGCAATTCATACGTTCAGTCTTTGGATGTGACTTAAATTATTTCAAGCAGACCCTCGTCCTCCACAATGCTAATCAGCCTGCAAGCTGCAGCCACCCATTTTGCTGTCGCTTTTGGGTGTTCCTGGTCTGCAGTGGTTAGTACTTACCAAAAGTGTCTAAGGAAGGAGAGACTGTGAACCAGCGACAGGTTTGTAGATCCCCAAGTCTCACTGGTGATGAAGTTGATCTGCTGTAGATTAAGCTTCAAAATTTCATTCATCCTTTTCAGAAGATTAAAATTAGTTTGAGCCTTTGTTAAAATGGTTAAAAGTGAGAAATACTGTACATTGGTCTCTATGAAGAGAAACATTCAGAGGCTATAGTGGTGATATCACACCTAGAGTGGGGAGGCTGTTGAATGTGTCTAAAACATTCTCTCTAGCTTGTCCTCACAGCCACAGTTTTCACTGCTTTTCCATAGGATTTTCAATGAATGGTTGACACATTCATGCTCTTCCTGGCAGTAGAACTATGGAAGCAAACGGATTCACAGAAGATGTGCTGTGAGCCTCAGAGTGACGCAAGTGCCAGCTAACTGCTGCACTGACTCCTGTCTACACTGGATTAGAAAGGTGGTCATAACGTTATGGCTGATGGGTGTTTATGAAATGTGACAGTAATGTGAAATCACTTGCATCTTCCAATGAAAATATCAAAGTCTCAAATGTTAAGATGTACACAATCCTGGGAATATTCACAGTCCCTGTGTGCACCGCAGCGTCTCCTGTGTGGGTGAAAAAGGAAGTCACACTAATCAGATAGCTGATGCGTGAATCATTCCACTCTCTCACACATAGGAATACCAGGTGGAGAAGCAGAGTGCAGCAAAAATGATGCCCTTGAATAAAGCCACATTTAGCACTAGTGCAGACGGGCTGCAGCTGGTGACGAATCTGTCTGTTTACCTTCCAGAACTGAAATATATGGGTTGTTCCCTGCTTTCACATAGTGGAATAATCTAGAATCCCTTTCAAATCCTGGACACTCAAGGCAGCATGACAAGCTAGCAGAAGTCAGTCACAGAATGTGAACTATTAGACCATCAGGGCATAGCATGTGTTTGTCCCACAGTAAGCCAATGTCAAGACAGTGAAATCTGCTGTGGCTAATGGGTGGTCTTCATCTGTAGGTTGTCACTCAAAATACAAGTTGCATCTATGTACAGAGAAAAACTAAATGCTATGGAGAAGGTCCTAACACAGAGGAGAAGAGTGGCTTTGGTCCCTCCAAAGTAAATCTGCCTTCCTATATATATCTCTATAAATACAGTATCTATATGTAAGACTCACTTCTGTGTATTAATTAGTTGTGTACTACTACATTCTATCAGTGTACTGCCTGTGTTCTTGTCTGTATTTTTGTATAATCCGATGTTCTTGATCATTTTGTATTTCATTTGCCACTGTGCTGCTGTTAGCTGTTTCAACATTCAAGTCTTGACATAAATAGTTTTAAGTGGGGTAGGGTTTAGTTTTTTGGATGTGTTTTACACTTTGCTGATGAAAACAGTTAAACAGAAAAGACCCTTGAACATGTTTTAAAACTGCTTAGTAAGGGTGCCAGTTTTGACATCACTGGAGATGATTCATCCTAACGGGCAGTGAGAATGTAGCCACCAATTACTGTCAGTATTTGACTTTTCTCATTAAGCCATAAGGAATCTAAGGAAAAAGCACAGTGGTCTGTTGTTGGTGGCGATGTCAGGTTATGTAGGACACTGTAGGTAGGGGGCTTTTCCATCACAGAGCTTATGACATATATATAGCAACAGCTTTTCTGACTATAAGAAAATAATTGTTTTACTAAAAGCCTGAGATGTATGAAACTCAAGAGATGTGTCCAGCCGCACAAAGGGTTTTCTGAAACACAGTGGGTTTTGAATGGATTTAAAGACACGGGGTAAATAAATCTTCTAAGGACTATGTCAGTTTTAAGTTTTAATGTGTGAAAACATAATAACTGCAATGTAAAGTTTTTCACATTTGCAGCATTACTAAGACAAACTCTTTGGTTTTGTGATCTGTGCAGTTCACAGGCCCCTTTGCTAATTGCAGTAATGACACATTAACTGTTCCCTTAATGACCAGTTCTCACAGATTTGAGAAGGGAGTGGTCTCTCACTGCCCGGGATACATCTATCGCTAGTCTTCTAGCCATGCAGTAGCAGTTACAGAAACATTATTGAGGTAGTGGAGTTAAAAGCTTGCTGCTTCTACAATATGCTACTACAAGTGTCCTCAGGACAAGAGTGGAGCTTTTAACAGAATTAAAAGCACATAATTTATTGACCACTGCTGATCACTCCAGATGAACTGGCTGGTTGTCACAGATATAAAATCTGAAAGCTAAAACTAAAAGGGACTGGCCTTGCATGTTGAGCTTCTCTGACTGCAGGATAGGTGCAACCTAGAAGGTATTAAAGAAAAAGAATACTGATATATCATTTGATTTAATAAAAGATCAAGAGTTACACCCTGTGGTGCCTCAGTTTTTACTGCTGTTTCTCACTTTTACCAGAAATCATCTTTAACAAGAACATATTCTTGTGGTTATTTGTTTTTATATCATACAGCTGATTGGAGTATTTTAAGGACAAAACTGTTATGTTTTGCCAAAATTACAGTGACTCGTGTTTGGAGCTTTATCACAGCAAATATACAGCAACCATTTTTGGATATTTTGGACAGAAGAGCATGCATTTCTGAGATTAGTAATGAAATGACTTTCAGCAATGTTTTGTCTAAATCTAATTAAATATATTGAGGGTGACATATCCAAGCAACAAAATATGATTTCTAATAATGACGAACCAATTTACGATACATCAGTTACATTTTATTACCTGTCACATTACCAGAGTCTAAGCAGGTTTATACAGTGTGTGCTTATATAAGATGTAGTGGAAAAGACCAGGTTGATCATGCTGCTTATTATGACAAATGTTAATGATTTAACGCCTCCTACTGGCAACACGAAGTACTGTGCATTTTTATGTAAACACTGACATTTAATGGCCACCTCTGTTGTAAACTGTATTATTGAAGATTAAAAGAAGAGTTGAGAAATTTTAGCTAATTATTTAATAGAGTAAATCAGATGTTCCTCCAAATGTCTATAAACCATTTTGACTGTAGGAACCTAAGCTAGGAAAAAATCTTTCAAGGCTTTCAAAGAAAAGACCACTGAAATGCCTGGAGGAGGCTCAGCTGGTTTGCTACAATCTGTGCAGGGCACAAATGATTACCCAGATATTCTGGGAAGAAACATACTACTCAGCACTAAAACGTTATGTATATGTACAGTTACAGTAGGTAGCTGGTCCAGTGGTTCCTAACCTAGAGGTCAGTCAAGATAAATCTGAGGGACTGTAAAATGAATAATGGGAGAAGAAAGAAAAAGTTTTCCTGTTTTCTCTGATTTTTGCTGCTAGCAACTTCTTGTGAAAATACCTGAAATGTCACAAGGAGCCCTCGACTACAAACTACTGTTTTGTAAGGGGCCACAAGTAAAAGTTGTAATCTTTATTAATGTACTGTATTTAATCATCTGTGTTGTTGTGGTAATGTAAAATCTTAATTTGAAAAGTAACTAGCAGCTCCAGCTGTCAGATAAATGTCATGGATTAAAAAGTAAAAAATATGTCTCTCTGAAATCTAGGCAGATAAGCAAATATTCAGCACCTTAAAATTGTATTTAAGTACAGTACTTGAGTAAATGTACTTAATTACTTTACACCACTGCACATAATAGTTCAAAACAAAAACTCTCTCAGACAGATACTGTAAACCCCACACCTCAGAACTGCCCATTAAATAGAAACAGTGCTGTTTCATTTGCTCAATAGAGAAAGAGAGAATACATATGAGATTAAGGGATCTTTTGTGTCTTTTGGTGTTTGTTTTGAATCTCTTTGTGGTCATTTTGTATCATTTTGCTCTCCTTTACATTAATCTATAGTTCTGAAACCAAATAATATTACGGTCAAAACGGTAGCTTCTGTTGCATCATCCCTGTACTTTACCCAGTGAAAGATTGTATATGAGGAGTTGGGGGACTGATTGACAGAAAGTTAATTAAGCCGCTTTGTTGAGTAAATTAATTCATTTTGTAAACAAAAATGCCAAGAAAATCTCTCTCGTTTCAGCTTCTCATAGGTTGATATTTGCTGGTTTTTAAAAACGTTTACGATAAACTAAACAATGACAAACATCTTTTGGTTTTGGACTGTTGATCATCACAGTTAATCTATTAATTAAGAAAATAACTGGCATATTAATTGATGATGAACCTAATTAGTTGCTGCCCTATAATAGATGACAAGTTTAGGTTCAAACATTTAAACAGAGTAGAAACTATGTGCTTATGCCGTAACATCCTCTAGTGCACACAGCTGGAAAGTCAGGAGAAACAATCATAGGTCGAACTGCCAAGGTCATATTTAAATAGGTCTATATAGGCTGATCTTACTTAGAATAAACCTACAACTTTGCCTGCAGAATGTATTTTCATGTGATGAACCATCTACACACCAGTAGTCCCACTGCTGAGATCTTCTTTTAACCAAACAGGCCTATTTAGTTTTACTATCATATGACAAAAAGGCAGACACCACTGGCCAAGATGGAAACAGCTATTGTTGCAACTGCAAATCCATTTTAATGAAAGAACAATGACTGACACAAATAACTGAATCGAGTCCGACAGAGCGGTGAACAGCAGCCTGTTTGTGGTCAGACAATGTGGACACCATCTCCTCCCAGCAGCCCACAGCTTTAGATTATGAACCAGAAACTCAGCAGAGAGGACATCTGAATCACACCGAGCGTGAAAATTCCTTCCTTTATCTATACCGTGTAACATCATGACTGGATTAAATAAAATAAAATAAAAAATCACAGCTGATATTAAGGTTGTGCCCTGGTGTCTTGGCTCTTTGGGGCAGTATTCACTCAGTGGTACAGGCTGTTCACTCTGTGTTCAAAAACAGGGACATCCTCTTCCTTAATATGAAAGAATCGCCTGTTTTCTGGAAACACTCTTATCAGCTGATGAAGCTACGCATCACCGCCTCATGTGCAGCCTGTACTGGACTGAAGTCCACTTTTTGAACCTTATGCTCAGTGTGTGTGCTTCCCCAGTTTAATGAACACATCGTTTGTGCTACCAGAGAAAGAACAGTGGTGGAAGAAGTACTCAGATTCTTTACTTAAGTAAAATAGTAGCAGCGCAGTGTAACTGTACTTTACATAGTAAATGTATTTAGTTACTTTTCACCGCTGAGAAAGAATCAGCCCAAAAGTAGTTCTTCCTTTTAATGATGCACAGTATTTCATGTCCAAACAGTACCTTTTTGGACTGTAACAAGAACTTCAGTTTCATCCAGAGTACATGACCGTTTATCAGCACAGTGGTGGTTTAATCTAGAAACTGAATCAAGCAAGGCTATAAGTCAAAAAAGGAAAGCGTAACAGCAGTAAGAGAGAAAAACAGCCTATCCTCTTTCATGACACAGTGGAGGTTGAGGTCAGGCAAAAGCAACATAAAAACATCTACAGTTAGATGTAACATGTTAGGGATCACCAATTGTTTATAGAAAAAAAATGAATTGACTATAGTTAAGGTAGTATAATTCATAGCATAATGATCATTCAAATACTGTAGGAACTTCCTGGGGTATTTTCTCAGACATTTTTTCACTTCAATATTATTAATATGCAGGACAAAAATAAAAATCATCCCTCAGATAAGTTCTAACTAATAAATGTAATGTTTTAAATGCAAAAGTCAAAGAACTAACATGCTCTGAACATACATGCAACAAACTGAACATAATATTTAGCTGTTAAACTTAAAACGGTGAGATGAGCCTTATATAGTGAGATGATCCTAACACACTGAGGTGACAAGGCATAACACAAAAGTTTTTCAATTATAAATCCCACACTGCCAACTGAATTATTTTTTTTCCAAATAAACTACAATTTAACAATTCTTTGCAACACACTCACTTTTTGATACCGATTGGGATGAATTCTTATTTTGTCTCCAATCTAGACTTATGTTAACAAGAAATACACTTCAAGTATTTTATATTCATTAGGTATTTTGTAATTCTTCCATCAAAAGCCCTGAGTTTTTTTTTTAAGACATTGCAGATGGCAAAAATGATTCATGGTACAAAAATACCGTTGGCGGTTAACAGGGTGACATGATGCTGCATTATAATTTATCATCAAGGCGTACATCTGCAGGATCATTTGAGATTACAAGCACTTCTTGTGTATAAATAAAACATGCAAACTTAGCATTCATGAGAACAACATTTTTGACTGTGGCTGTTTTAGTCTGACCCACTCAGGATTTAGTATCTTCTGTATTGTATCTAATATAATACAGCCCTAAATATAAAATTGTTACGCTGTAAAAAGGAGCAGTTTTAGAAATGTATGCTTTGTATTCTACAGCATTTACTTTTAACAATTAGTACCAAAATCACTCACTCCATAACACTACATGTTAGATAATTTTGAGATGAGCACGCTGTACAGTTATGATGGTCTAACTCCTTCTTCCACATTTGCAGGCTGGGTAGCTGATTTGTGGAAAGGCGTTTCCTTGTAAATGAACCAGCAGTTGCCACCCCACAGGATGAGGTTAAGAAAACCAAAAATCTGCCAAGGAATAAGGGACAAGTCAAACAGGCCATGTTGTGGTTATGCACACAACTGTAAGCACATCTAAAAAAGACAAACTTGCATGCAACTTACCACTGAGGCATTCAGTCGGCCCATGTGAGGAACAGCACCTGAGGTGCACTTGTTTTTGGCATTCTGGCACACCTTAAGAGAATTTATAATGGTTAAAGGACCGGTGGCCTGTTTCACATCAGACAAACCTTTAGCCCAAGC